ACTGCATCACTACATGGAGAACTTGAAGAAGAAATTTTTATGCTCCAACCAGGAGGTTTTGAAGAAAAAGGAAAAGGGAACTTGGTTTGCAGGTTGACCAAATCTCTATACGGTCTCAAACAGGCGCCGAGATGTTGGTATAAGAGATTTGATTCATTCATTCTGAGCCTTGGATACAACAGGTTTAATTCTGATCCTTGCGCGTATTGCAAGAGATTTGATGATAATCAGTTTATCATCTTGCTGTTGTATGTTGACGACATGTTGGTAGTATGAAGGCTCAACTGGCTAGGGAATTTGAAATGAAAGACTTAGGACCAGCAAACAAGATTCTAGGGATGCAAATTCACCGAGACATAAATAATAGGAAGATTTGGCTTTCTCAGCAGAATTATCTGAAGAAAATCTTGCGGCGCTTCAACATGCAAGATTGTAAGCCAATTTCTACCACTCTTTCTATTAATTTCAGGTTATCCTCAAGTATGAGTCCTAGCAACGAAGTAGAGAGGATGGAGATGTCTCGAGTACCATATGCATCAGCAGTGGGCAGTTTAATGTTTGCTATGATCTGCACTAGACCGGACATTGCACAGGCAGTGGGAGCGGTCAGTCGATACATGGCAAATCCTGGTAGAGAGCATTGGAGTGCTGTGAAGAGGATCCTTAGATATATCAAGGGTACTTCAGATATTGCATTGTGTTATGGAGGATCAGACTTCGTCATTAAAGGCTATGTTGATTCAAATTATGCAGGTAATCTTGATTGTAGTAAATCCACCACGGGTTATGTGTTTACTCTTGCTGGCGGAGCAGTAAGCTGGGTCTCGAAGTTGCAGTCGGTTGTGGCAACTTCAACGACTGAAGCAGAATATATGGCGGCTACTCAAGCTAGTAAATGGGCAATATGGTTGCAAATGTTATTGGAGGAGCTCGAGCACAAGTTAGAGAAAATGCCTCTATTTTGTGACAGTCAGAGCGCTTTGTACTTGACAAAGAATCCAGCATTTCATTCCAAGATGAAACGCATACGAGTTCAGTATCACTTTGTTCGTGAGAAGGTGGAAGAAGGAAATGTGGATATACAGAAAATCCATACTAAAGATAACCTGGTAGATATGTTAACAAAGCCTATTACCAACGATAAATTCATATGGTGTAGATCCTCAATTGGCCTAACAGGAATGCAAGCAGCAGGGGATTGGCAAAAAGGATGAAGATCCACATTATGACTTTAAGTGGGAGATTTGTAAATATTAAAGTCAAATGTGGAATGGGAAGAGGTTTTCCTAAGGGAACTTGGGAGGAGTTTTCCTAAGGGAATTTGGGATGAGGTTTCCTAAGGGAGCTTGGGATGAAGTTTGAATAAGACAAATGCATTAAATGCTTGGGCATAGGTTTGTAAAGGGGAAAAGCATGGACATAGGTTTTATTCAAGGAAAAAGCTAGAGATGAGGTTAGTGAGCATAGGTTTTGCTTGGGAAAATTTGCAGGAGAAGTTTTCTTGCATTGCAAGTTCCTAGGCATTTAATGTAGCATTAAATGCTTAAGAATTCTCTAGACTTTTTGGTTGCTATAAATAGGCAACATCCTTCATTCATTTGGATCATCCCATCCGAAAATTTCCAGTAACATAGCAAATTCTGTAGAGAGTAAATAGAGAGTTATATTTGTAATTCCTATTGTATTATCCTTTTGCCAATACAGAAAATTCTTCTTCAAATTGTCTTGTTCTGTGTATGCTTTATTTTAATATTACACTAGAATTTATTCTCAATATTTCCAGTTCAAGTTGCTATTGTAAATTTGGTGTTGTGAACCCGTTTCGATCCTAACAGCGTTCGACATTACCGACTGCAACCTGTAGACTTGGGCACTTGAGTACCTCCAAACCCAAGGTTTTGGTTGTGTCTTGATCAATAAAGTTGTAAGTGCTACCCGAGTTAATTAATGTAGTTACGGGATTGCCGTTGACAACAATGGTTATGCGCATAGTATTGCCGCTAGCAGACTCAGTGATTGCATGCTAGGAGATGTCAGGATGGTCAGCCACTTCATAATTGACGGACTCTGGTTCCGAAGAAGGAAGCTCGGCGGCATCGTCGATAACCAGTAAGAAAAGGCGTCTACAGTTGTATGCTAGAGACCATCTCTCATCGCAGTGGAAACACAGGCACTTGGAGCATCCCTGGTTGTAGTCAGCTCTGGACAAGCGTCGCTTAGGGGGTAGAAAGGAACCAGAGGCACGCATGGACTGTACTAGCAGCCGACTTTGGTTAACGAATTAGCTGTCGATGGAGGTGGCAAAAACAGACGCCAGAACGTTCGAAGTCGACAGACCTCCAGTACGCGTCGTCGAGGTCACCATAAACTACGCTCCCGTGGCTGAACGCATCGCCCCACCTGAAAAAAAAATGTTGTTAGCAGTTAGAGGTCGTAGGTTGACCAAAAACCATGGCAGACCCAGGCAGAGCACACTCAATGCGCCGGAAAAAAGATCTGGCTATGTTAATGGAGACATCCAGGTTTGCTGGGCGTTGGTTCTTGACGTTGATGCGGAGCCATTCGTCCAGCCCGATGGTGTAGAGATCAACCTCCTAGTCTCGCCGGACAGTTGTCGTACGCATAAGCATCGTCTGGAATGCCTTATTGTACTCGTCAATGTGTCGTCCGTCCTGGTTAAGCTTCGCTAGAGTGCCCAAAACTTGCTATGAAGTCCTGGACCGAATCGCAAGAAACACCGTTGTTTAAATTGTTGTAAGTCATGTCAGGTTCCTAGAGGTCCAGCTGGAAGTGCCACATTTGTGCGACGCCCGTGAGGTGAAAGGGAGCCAGGTGAATTTTGGAACCACCGCTAGTCGAGGTAGTGGTCTTGGTTGCGGGGTGTCCAATGGTGGCGGAGTGTGGTCCACGTCCGAGTGAGTGCGGCTGCTGGAGGCGTCCGTAGGTCGTTTGGCAGCCATGAATTTGCAGAACATCTATTATAAAGAGGCATGGTCGTCTTTCATGGCTTCAATGGTAGTCTAGAGTTGGTGAACCTCTCCACATAATGCCGTGGCCGATTCAACCAACGATTGGTTGCCCATGATGACGAACTCTGATACCAAATTTTTTACAGGCGGGGAAGATTAGGATCGGGTCACTAGTTGACCTACGGTGCTGGAGAGACGTGCCGAAGGAGGCAGAGCTGTGGTAGTTGTACCTATGATTGTAGTTGTGAATAGAAAAAAAAAAAAAAAAAAAAAAAAAAAAAAAAAAAAAAAAAAGGCAAAGAAAACTTTGAAGAATTCTGGAGTTCTTCTTCTCCCTAATGTCATTAGCCAAATAGACAAGTTCTCTTCTCCCCAATGTCATTAGCCAAATAAACAATAATCAGATGCTATATAGCTTGCATGCATCTTCTTTAAATACAAAAGGAAGCAACGACAATATAACATAAAAATAGGAAAAATAAAACAAAGCATAAGAATAAGGAAAACTAATCTGAATTAATCTTATTTTGTTAGCTTGTTTCCTGCGCCTTTGATAATGCTTTCCAATGAATGTATCAAGTCTCAAGCAGATTAGGAATCATTATATTAGCCTATATAAAGAACATTTTCAATCAATAATAGAAAAGCATAAATTTTACAGAAAAATAAGAAGTCTGGGATCTGAACAAAAATCACATTCTTATTCATCTTTATTCAATTACCCCCTTCAACAAGTCAAATGTGTGCAATTTCACCTGCTAGCTGCTTCCCTTTCGGTTGCCTGGTGACGTGGAGGCTAGAGTTGACAATTCTTTTCTTTTTCTCTCCTCGTTCTTCCTAGCTAATGGCGTGTCTTTCTCACTGAAATTTCTAAAATAGTTTATCAACGCCTAGTTTTAAAAGCTCAGAGACATGAACACTACAAAACCTCTTTCCAAGATCACCCACCGGAGTGAGGGTGCGAGCTAATAGTTCTCCGAGGATTGGGCACGGGAAGATCCAAAGCCATGGTCGGAGGAGCTCGCCTCGGAACAAGCGGGCAGAACGGGCAAAGAAGATGGAGTTGCCCGAGAACTAAACAGATGGAGATTATATCTGGAAACAAAAACCGATTATGATGCATGTTTTGGGTTGGCTAATGATTCACCACTCTATTATTTCAAAATTCTTGACGTTCTTGAAGCTTCATTTGTTTGTACAATTGAGTAATGAAATCTTCAGCTTTGACGTTGATCATCTGTAATGAATTCTTCAGCTTTGACGTCGATCATCTCGTCGCAGCAGATGGGGTCAAACACCTCGTCGGGATCAAATGCCGGATTTGGAAGAACTTATTGCTTATTATCTTTCTTTGAATCCTAGTGCAATGGGCTAAACCTACCTCCTAAGGAAGCAACTTGGGGACAGGATTTACTGCGGGGAGAATATTGTAATGATTCCAGGCTAGAAGAAAGCATTTAGCTGTATCATATTGTTCTTATATCCTCCTATGTCCCCGCAGTAAATGCTTGAAAGGGTATTGAATTTATTTCCTCAGCAATAGTCACTAAGGAGTACAACACTTGTGATCGATCTTGCAGCAAGAGTAATCGGAGTATATCGTCTTCACTTTTCTCACTCAGAGCTGGGCATTGTTAGACTGTTATAATTCTCCAAATTAGTCAACTACATAAGATAGATGGTTAGTTGAGTACATGATTGGAGGAATAACCGAGTTAAGCGCCGACTCGGCTGAATTGGACACCGACTTGGCCAAGTTAGGCGTCCAACTCGACGCCTAGGGCGCCTAGTCAACCAGCAAACTAAAAGCCGCCTAGGACTGAAATCGCATTGGCCTAGGGGCACCTAGCGATTTTTAGTATGGAGCTATGAATAGTAGGGGCGCCTAGACCGATTTTTACAACACTGATTGGGATAGTGTAATCAACATGAAATTAGCAAAACACATCCAGATCAATAGTTTACTACAGAAGGGTTCTTCATTCATTAGTATGGAGCTATGAATAAATAACATAGCATGTTTGAAAATACTTGTAACAAGAAAGCCACAAACTTTATTCATGTGAAGAGAACATGATTTACAAACCTCACACATAGCATAAGCATCTCACTTTATCTCTATAGTATTTTTTTTTTTTCTTAATTTAATTGGTCAGTCATGGACACAAACTACAGTATAATATTGTTTTTGAAAGGTTATCCAAGTGCATTATTCGTATGCAGGAGTTCCACAACAAATCATTATTTTTGATAACTTATCTCTCTTCCAGAAGTAAGCTAAGAGTGAGCGAAACGTACACAAATACGCTGCTGGATTAGGCTCCTACAAGAAGGACAGTCTTTCATCCCCTGATTCTTGTGGAGCTCATTGCATGTTGTACATACTACCTGGTGGGCACATGGAAGGAAAACGACAGACATCTCTTCAGACAAACACATGACACACTCATGTTCCCGCTTCACCCCACCAGTGTTACAGAAATCACGAAAGTCTGCTATCAATCTTGAAATATGATGTGTATGGCTTTCCTTTGGCTCTGGAGGAGTTTTGAGGTCTGTCACTTTACTTGCATAGCTTCCATCTATGCCTCTTCTAAGAGCAGCTATTTTTGATGAGTCAGTTTTCAGCCTCAACTGGGATATTTCCTTTTCTAGCTTCTCAATATCCTCTTTATACTTCTGCAAGTTGTCTTCTGCTTTCAATTTTATCATATCTTCCTTGGATTTAAAAGAAGTCTCAATTTGTTCTCTCTCTTTCCTTAGTGAGCTTGCCTGTGAAAGTAATTCTTCCTTTGCAATCTTTTCTTGCTTCCATTTAGCCTGTGAGGTTTCAACATTTGAATAAGAGCACATCTTACCAGGATATACCATGCATCACTACATTACTTCATAAACTAAAGTGTCCATCAAACTGCAACTGAGAAGCTATATAAGATGATTGGCATTTGGCAATAATAATGACTTCTTACGATGGTGAGGGTTTATCTTCTCCATGAATCTAGTACTGAAAAGCTCTCAACACCACTTTTATGCACAGTCATATTTACTAGGCAGTCATATTTACTCTACTCTAGGAAGTTGTAGCTTTGAGAAGAGGAGTAGTTTTTCAGCATTTATCATGCCCTTTCATATGCCTTTCTCTATGCCTATATATATGGTTGTAATTTGGAGAACTTTAGAGACATACAATGAAATAAAGTATCCTTTCTTCCTTTTCCCTCTACTGTTTTAAACACAAAGGAAAAGGCCAACTGTATAATTAGACAAACAATATAATATGATTGCTCAAATACAGTGTTGAGGAAATAAACTTAAAAAAAAATTTCTTTTAAATCAACCTTCAACACTCCCTCCCACCCCGCCCCCCAACCCCACCTAAAAAAGAGAGTATCTCTAAACTACGATGAGAAAGAGAATGTGTTGTTCTTGTGCATGAAGTATGTAACCAACATATAAGTTATTCAAGTTAAATTGCATAGGTTATTCCAATTGCTGAACGGATAGTTTCATACTTTCTAACTTAAATGGAGATCAACCATCAAAGAAATCTTACGCCCATCATTTGCATATACAGTCTAACTTGTGGATCAAGTGAAGTGCAACTGTCACAGTAGAAACAGGTGCAAATTTGGAAATATTACTTAGGCATACCTCAATTTGATTTTGGAGATCCTTAGCTAGCTCCAGATCTTGTTGCAGCTGAGCCAACTTTCGTTTTTCAGTTGCAAGTTCATCCTGGAGCATAATTTTTTGCTTTTCCCAGGAGTGAAACTTCGCAAGTGTCTTCTTTTCTCTCTTTGATACCTCTTGACAGCTTACAGCTGACTCTGCTGCATGCAATTTAGCAGCTTCCATTTCCCTCCTTAATGCAGCATTCTCAACCTCAAGCCTACGGACGGCAGCATTAGCTCGATCCACCTGCCCACTGGCCTTACCCAAGGCACTAGCCATCTCTGTCAGCTTTTTCATAGTGTTTTCCTCCAAAGTTTGCTTTTCTTTTTTGAGCCTCTCAACTTCTTCTTTCTCCTGCCTGAGTGTCTTAAGCTCAGCTTTGTCTTTGCTTAGTCTACGGGCAGCTTGCATAACCTTCTGATTAGCCCATTCTGTCCACTCTTGAAGCTGATTTTGTAATTCACGCACCCTTGGAACCAGCTTCAAAATCATTTCATCTTTCTTGTCCTGTGTAGCCCATTGAGTGATGTGTTTTTCATTTTCTGCAGTGCTACCACAGGTAGGCACCTCATCACTATGGTTGATAGGCATTTGGATTGAGATGCATTTTGCAGGCACTGGGAGAGAATTCTCAGTGTCAGTGACTGATAGTGAAGGAGTGGTATTGACTGGTGGAAATAGAGATGGGATGGTTGATTTAGGCAATGCAAAGGTGGCATTAGCATTCTCTGAACCAAACATGGGAGTTGAAGAAAATCCAGTGCTTGTCGAGACATTATGGCCTTCAACATAATTAGTCTTGTTCATATTTATTGTGGCATTCTTCAGATTCAATCCAGTGGAGTCAGCCACAGCCTTGAGTTTTTTATCCAACAGAAATCCACCAAAATTACTAAGCTTTCCAGATCTAGACCCTTTAGAACCATATGTTCTGTAGTGTTTCTCCAGATGAATAGATTTCTGTCTGAGAATATACTCCCTCTTGGTGGTTCCAGAAATTTTCCGACTGCCAACAAACTTCTCTGCGTGTAGACCATGGGATGTTCCAGCTGCACTAAAGGGCTTTTCAGCGGTGTTAAACAAATTATTTGAACATTCTTTCTCAGTCATAAGCCCATTGAGAGCAGAAGAATGAGGTTTTACATGTGGAAGTGCTGCTGCTGCAGCTGCAGGTGTGTCCGACAGAAAGGTGTGCCCATATGGAGTTGAAACAGTGTCAGGTGTGACTGATGGACAATAAGCACAAAAAGCTGAAGGAGTTGATTTACAAGAAATTGAAGCATTAGATTCGATACTTTTAGCCTCTGCTTTCAATGGAGGTTGCAAAGAAGCCAATGAATTTTCATTCGAAGCCCCGTCCCCTACAAAGCTACTCAAAGGATCAGTGTCCAATGCACACGCATGGGACACATTCATGTCACATACTAATAGGCACCACATTGCATCACCAGTGCTGAAAAAAGGCCTAACCTCCCGCAAAACACAAACTAATTCAGCCAATACATACTTTTCCATCTGTTGCAAGTCCTCAAAATAATACTCCCTCGATGAATCAATTACTTGGCCACTGTTGAGAAACGCTAGTGCATTGTCCACTATATTCGACACAATGTCCTTGCTCCCAAAGCAAAAACCAGACCTCAACACAGCCTTATTTGCAACCTCTTCACTATAACCGCAAGCTATTATTTTCTTAATCGCACTCTTGTAAATTGCATCCAAGTTACTCAATACAAGCTCCTCCAGCTGAGATTCCGTGAGATCACTCCAGTCAGCATCACGAAAATCTTCAGTTGCTTCAACATCCTCTCTTGCCCGACTAGGCTCTACATCCGATGACCCTACTGCACATGATAATCCGAGGTCAAGTTTCAAACCTTCTGATTTGTCATGTTTTACACTACACATATCACACCCGCTGGAGTTCCCATGGCTTGGGATTATTCCAAATTTATCTACAGAAAATTCATAACTCGTGCATTCATTCTGAGTTGTAGGGATGATCTTATTCGTATCGGCTAAAGGTGGATCAGCCCTGAATTTCCTCTTATTCCTACTCCCTTTTTCCGACACTTTCATAACTTGTGATATCTGAGTAGTAGTAGTTGTTGTACTAGTACACGCCTTTGCAACCATTGATGCCATTCCTTAGCTGCACATTAAAATATCTTTCAGAACTTCATTTCATGTAACTAATACAAATGGGCGGACTTTTACACTGAACGTTCAACAAATACTGAAATCCACTGCTCACATTAATCAAAATTCAAAAATATAATCAAGAAAGGAAGCTACAATCAGCTTTTTGAAGGCATTTCATTAACTATCCATCTTCAACCCAATTCATCTACTGTTAGTGAGTCTAAATCATCAATTCAAACAATCAAATATAAACCATCAAATCGCAAAAACGATACAAAATTCATTCGATGAATTCAGTAATCCTTATGATCAACAAGAATCAAGCAAAATTACCTGCATCACGCACATATCTATTGAATCAACAGAAAACACATACACAGAAAAGATAACCGAACATTGAATATAATTACGCAACAACCAACCTAGGATCAACCCGAATTCATATCAGTAATCAAAATCAACTCATAGATCAAAACAATTAAGCTAAAAATCAAGAAAATTTTGCTTTTATTCCCATTAAAGATCGTTATGAAAAGATGCAAATTTCATAGAAAAAATAGGGATTTCCCCGATGAATACATACCAGATTTGAGCTACTTTTTCAGCGATCAAAGGTAGGATAAATCTAAGAGCATCGGAGAGAGTAGGAGAAACGACAGTCTTGTTTTCCTCCTTATTTATTTATTTTGTTTTTTATATTATTATTATATTCTCTCAATTTTAAAGCATTGAGATCAGAAAATCTCTCCTGCATTTTTTATTTTATTTTTTATTTTTTGGGTTGAAAACTATTTTTATTGAATTATTTTATTTTACTTTTTTTTTTATCAAAATATTTTTTGTTTGACACAACCAAGATTGATGCCTCAGCTCTCTATATATATAGATATAGATGGAGTATTTTAAGGCATTTGGCCTAACTATGGTTAATAGCATGGACCATGTAGTGTTAAAATTTTACCGTACTTTTTTAGTATTTATGATGTCTAATTCACCATTATATTATATTTTTAGTACTTATATTATCTATAATTCTTTGAAGGATTAAAAATTTATTATTTCCTTTCAAAAAAATTATTATTTAATTGAAATGAGTTTTGTTGTAGAAATTTCTTCTCTCTCTCTTTACCGAGCATTTGGTTGGAAAGAGTGAATCAGGAAGTAAATGAATTGTAATTCGGTGGTAAGAAAAATAAGGTGGAATAAAGTAGGAATTCAAATTACATTGTTTGGTTGGAAAGAATTGAATTATTGAGAATGTAAAGGGAAGAATTGACATAAAGACTAAAATGCCCTTTTGTAATAATAATACTAATAATAATAATAATAACTAAGGGCAAATAGGACATTTCTATATCTTTTTCCTTTCCATGCTATGTTGAATTGAAATTCATAAGGAGGAGGTATGAATTCCAATTCAACAAATGGAGAAAATTGCAATTTAATTACACCCAACCAAACTCTATGATTTGGGGGCTCAAAGAATAGTGTTGTAATTGCATTTCAATTACATCCAACCAAACACCTTATTAAAGAATTCTATTCTATGGGATAGATGTTTTGGGTGTTACAATCTTTTTTTTTTTTTTGAAAACAACCCAACGAAAGTAATCATTCATAAGCATCATGAGACAAAGCAATATGTAAAAATAAAAAAAAAATAAAAAAAAATAAAAAAGAATGACTGACATGTCACTCTCCACAGCCTAACTCAGAACGAGATTCGCGGGCCACAGAACGAGTCATGCCGTTTGCAAATAGCTTAACTCACAAGAACTTCAGCGAAGTATATCTAGCAGCAAGTTCTTTTACATCGTTAACAACCAAATCAAACACATTCATAACTGATGTTCCACAAAGCGCCATGACGACATGTTGAGCATCGATCTCAACCTCCACATTATCCAACTCTAGCGCCTTAACGAACTCAGAGCCTCGTGACCTCCCATAGCTTCTGCCTCGAGGCGAGAAAGCACCAATCCTCCTCACCTCCTTCGTAAACAAAAAACCCCCACTATCATCTCGTAATACCCACTTGAAACCCATGCATCTTCTATTCACATCAATGATGCATCAACATTCATTTTACCCCCCCCCCCCTATCCACCTTCACCCACCTCGACAATGTCCCCTCCCAACGTGTGGTTTCTAATACTCCGTATAGTTGATGCAGCCCTCCACGCTTCTAGGAACGATGAACTCTCCTTATAAATCCTCTCAACATCAACCCTACCTGTGACACCCCGAAATCCAAATCCGATTAAAGGATTAATTAAGTAATTAATCCTATTTCAATTTGTAATTCAATTTCCTAAATTCCTGGAAATTCAATAGTCGGGGACTAGTAATTGACTAGTCAACCCCAAAGTCAAAGTTGTACCTTGAGCTTTGTAGGGAGTTCCCTTGTTCCCTTACACCTCTTCATGTTAGTAAGGGTATTCTTGACTTTTCATCTTGTGTTAGTATTGTATGCTAACCTAGTAAGAACACCCTCATTTCTCTCCTTACACTTTCCAAATTCTAGCTCTACCTTCTCTCTAAAAAGGTAGATAGCTTTTCTTCCAAGCCAAGTTGAAGCCTTGCTAAAACTTCAAGAGTTGTCTCCAAGATAATACCTTTCATACATTTGGGCATCTAGGAGGGTAAGATCCATGTTCACCTTGTGTTTTTAGTGTTTTTTAAGGTGTCTTTTCTTAAAGATAGAATCTTTATGATCTTTTGGTGTGTTTTTGAAGTGGGTTTGGAAGGTGAGCTTTGTTAGGAGCTTGGTGAGGAGTTAAGTGAAGGTCTTTGGTCTACAAGAGGTAACACATGCTCTACAAAATCTATTTTGCTTGCCTATATGATGATTTATTGGATTCTACATGTGATTTTGCTATGAAATGTGAGTGTTTATGCATTGTCTTGTGAAAATGCATATCTAGAGCTTGTGTTTAGGGTTCTTGTATGCCATTGCTTGGCTATTCCTTTGATTCAAGTCATTTTGTTGTATTTGGTGAGATTTGGCATGTTTTGGACTTGAATTTGAGCTTGGTGATGAAAATCCCCGAAGGGATTATTTTGGGCACAGGTGTGTACCCGCGAGCGGAATGGCGGGCAGAGCCCTACCCGCCGCCCCACCCGCGGGAACATGTTGCTTGTGGGTGTATGTACCCGTGGGCAGAACCACGGGTAGGGGCCTACTCGTAGGTCCACCCGCGGGGTACACAGTGGTGTTGTTTGGGGATTTGCTCCCCGTGATCCTTTTGACTCGGTATTTGGTCTTTTGACTTCCCGATGCTCTTTTGTGGAACTATTTGCGCGTCTTCTTGATGTTTCGTATGTCTAGAACTATATGGTAGGAATCCATGTAGGTTTTGGTGTCTTGAATCGTGCTAAGTGTTCAACATTGTGTTTCGTTGAACCGTGATGGGTCTTGTGTGTTCTTCGGAACTACGTTTGGTTTACCCGTTTGATAAGCATGCTAGTTCGGTGTTTGAATGCTAGCGTGTGCGTTGTTTGTACCTTTCCTAATGGTTGATGATAACTTGTGTTATTCATCTTTGTTGTTGTTAGACTGTGTTCCATTCCTTGATTGAGTATGGTTTCATATCTTCGTTGTGATCCGTTGATTGATTCCTGTTGTGGTGTGATGCGTGTGTGGCTTTACCTGGATTACACGATTAGTGGTATGGGATACTAGTCACCAAGGTATTGCAGTGGTCCTCGTGGTGGCCATGACGTGATTATGGAGTTGTGACCTTTGTGTAAGGTTCACGTGTTTTTGGGAGAGGCATGTGTTGCCGTGTGTGTGATCGGTACCCTCGTGTACTATGAAATCGGTGGTTCTGTTGGAGGGACTGTTGGAGGGGGAACGACGGTTCCCGGAGGAATAAGGTTGGACTTGGTGTACAGGGGTCCTGGAGGTAAAGGTTGGAACTAGATATAAGGTTGGGGGTAGCCATAAGGTTGGAACCGGGCATAAGGAAGTCATATCAACTCGTGATGGGTGATGTCACGAGGGCTTGTGTAGCCGTTGTTGTGAGTTCTCTTCTTGTGACGTGTGTAGTCACAAGGGCATGTGTTGCCTTGGCATGTGTTGCCGTTTGTTGTGTCTTTATTCCTTTGAGTTATGCATGTCAGGTATTAATCTATTGTGTGATGATAGATTATACCTTGAGACTTCTTGTGAGTCGTTGTTGTCCTTTGTAGTCTTGGGATGTGTTCCCGTGTTCTTGTTGAGAGTGTTTGAGTCTTGTGTTGACTATTACTCTTGGTTTTTGACTTATATATATGTATTCCGTTTCGAAAATGGCTTTACAAACCTATATCTTATCTATGTATGATATTTCACATGTATTGGTGGGTTACCAGCATTATTCGCTGACCGGGCGTCGTCCCATGTTTTATATGCTTCTTTCAGGTGATGCTTAGACGAGTGCGCGGTTTAGTGTCAGCTAGTATAGCTCCCCTCTTATGTTTTGTGGCCTGTGTGCCAATTTAGACTTAGTACTTTGTTATGATGGTTTTAGATGTTGAACAATGTAGATTTATCCTGTGCGTTCACCCTTGGGTGAGCGTGGCATAGCACCCCGTTTCCTTTATTTTATATATATTTCTTCTTTCAGTCTTCTGCTGTGTTTGATGTTTTGGTTTAGATATCTGCATGTTTTAAGGCTTTAAATAGCATGGTTTTAGGGGGTGTTACACTACCATTTTTCCATATTTTATCATTCCTCACCCCCCCCCCCCCCCCAATACACCTCAACACAAACAATAAGGGAGCAAAGATCAACATTTTCTAACTGTAGGAAGCAACACCCAACCCAGTCAAGTAACATTGGATGGATGTCCTGGAACCACCCTCGGCTCAACCCCCATCCTTGCCCAACATTGAACCATCACCGGACATTTAACAAATAAATGAAAGCATGTCTCCATCCCACTACAACACAATTTTCTCGTACCCCAACCTACCTCTCCCTCAACCTATCAAGTGTCAACAAATTCAACGAACACAAATGCCAAAAGAACACTTTCGGGTGTAAATGGAGTTTCCACAACGAAGTCCAACCCAACAATCCATCCCTAACCCCCTCTCCAACCAAACGTCGATATCAACTCTAAACCATACACGCTCCATGCATGTCAAAAGTCTATATCAACCGATCAGAATTCTTCGCGTTAATAAAGGAATAACTAAAATGAGATCTTTATCTCTGGCATTGAAACATCAAGATCCTAAGGTTGTGAATCCATCCCCATCGAAGAGCTCATTGTTATATCCTCCAACCCCTCCACCCTCTCAGTTTGAATTCTAGGACATGCTATATCCAGAATCCACAGGTCATCCTAGACAAGTATACTTTCGCCACAACCCACCCTCCACTAGCATACATCCCTCACTAACTGCCTGACTTCCCACACACTTCGCCAAACGTAGGACGGGTTACTCCCCAACGCTGCCGCTATAAAATAGGTACGTGGGAAATACTTAGCTTTAAACACACGAGTAGCTAGCGACTAAGGATGCGTAACAAACTTCTAGGCCTGCTTCCTAAGCATAGCTTTATTAAAACTATACATACGTCGAAACCCCATACCCCAAGCTTTTTGGGTTTATATAAATCCCCCCCCCCCCCCCCATATAGACCACTGTATACCCCCACTCTCCCCTTGTCGAGCCCCGGCCCCCACCAGAAACCATTCATAGACACCTGTAACACCCCGATTTTAAGCATATTTTAAAGCAATTAAGACTTAAGAAGTAAGGCAATCT